TCGAGGCTCCGAATCCTGCAAGAGAAGCCGGCTGAGTTCTGCAAGGTCTCTCCCCCTGGCTTCTCTGCTGCTCTTCTGCAGGGAAACAATGGCCCATCAGGTTCTAATTATCTTGCCGACTAGCTCCCTGCCTGCTCGCTCATGGTGCCGCCATGTTTGCAGCAGGCCACCGAGGCAGGCACGGGGAGCTTGGCGCTGGATCCACGCCCAGCGCGCTGTGTCAGCACAGGGATTCTGAAGGCTGGTTTCTCGGGGTTCGTGGAAGGAGCCAATGAACGAGTTCCGGTTCACAAGCACCATGCAGAAGCGAAGCGCTAAGTGTTTTGAGTTACCCTGGTAAACCGGGTTCCTCTCCAGCTAGGATCTACAGATGCTAAGGAACGGGGTATTTTGCTAATTGTGTAGTCGATGCAATTTGTATCAACTACACGGTTAATCGATAAGGGCAGGCACACGCCGGGACTGCTGCACCTCTGCAATGAAATGTAGTCAGAACCCGGCAGCAGCAGTGTCAGCCGGGACTGCTCAGTCCTGGCTTACTTCAGGTCCAGCACCAGTGTTCCCTGTAAGCTGAGCGCTTGGGCGGCCACCCAGGAGAGATTCAGGTGCTGCCCTGCTGATTGGCAGAGTGCCCACAACTGACCACAGCCAGCAGCATGTGTTTCTATGGTGGTGCACATTGACACATGCCTTGGTGCACATAAAATTTATTCCACACACAAATAGAAAATCGTAGGGGGAACATTGTCCAGTAGCCCCTGCTCCCAACAGCTCAGGCCGCCGGGGACAGGGGCTGTGGCCAGAGCAGCCTCCCCTACTCCTCCCCCGACCTTTGAGGAAGGCAGCAGCGGGTGGGATGGAGGTAGGTGGCACTGTAGAGTTGGTGCTGGGGGGATCCGGCCTTTAAGCTGGTTTCTCCCAGCACTGGCTCCTGTTTCCCCTCCCCTTGCTGCCTCTGTATCAGAGGCAGCAAGTCAGGGGGCAGCAAGCATGCAAGTACTCCATTCGACTACTTGATAAGCTTATGCTTACTGGGTAGTCGAGTACTCACATCCCTACTAGGATCAGTCAAGAACTCCATTCGACTACTTGATAAGCTTATGCTTGCTGGGTAGTCGAGTACTCACTTACATCCCTACTAGGATCGCCCCAATTTTTCCCCGTATTTGAAGTACTTGCCCCATACCTGTTTCCATTGAACTTCTCCTGCAGGAGCTATTAGGTGCAAAATGTCCGGAGTCTCAATAGCACTAAGGACTGGCTGTTTGTTTGGTGCATAGTAAGTGCTCACCTAGACCAACTGAAAACCCCCAGACCTGCCTGATGCCCCATAGCTCAGAGCTCTGTTAGAAGAAGAGCCAAGGGCCGGCTCTGTACCTGGCCTGGGAGAGGGGAGTGAGAAACACTGAAAAGGGAGAGGCCAAGTAACCAAAGGCGATCAGCCGCCTGTTCTCATGTGGGGTAGGGCTAGAAGTCTCCATTGTTCTCATGGGGAGCTGTTGGGTGCTGAGGTTGTCCAAAAATCTGGCCCTCGGTGTGTGGCCATATTGTGCCCCACATCTGCAGTGCAGTGAAGGAGGGCTGGGAGCATGTATCTTAGGGCAGCGCCCTGAGAATATGGAAAGGAAGGAGTTAATCCATTCGGACTTACTCATAAATGGATTCTCTTCACCATGTATTAGAACTGCTCACCGCGCCCCCCCGGCTGCATCAAGGCTGCTCACTCCTGCAGACAGGCGCTGGTGACCATACGGGGGCCACAGCCAATGGGGGGGCCTTTAGAAACGTGCCAGCTGAATCAAGACGGCGAGATACACCCCCTTTGGTTTTGCACAATGTTCTGACTCGGCTATTGCGGTATCCAGCCTCCCATCCGGTAACATGATGGGGCTGTTTGCAGTGAGGGGAGCCGCCTGCCAGGTTTTTGGGACTGGATTACACTTACAAGGGATCTGTCTCTGCGATACGGATGCAAGGTGGGACACGCCAGTCCGTCTGGCAGAGTGGATGGCTCCGGGTTCCCTCCCCCCACCCACCATCAGGAATGAAACATCCGTATTCAGAGCTGCTGTGTTATTTTTTCATCAGTGACTTTACCAACAATCTGTCCTTGATTTGTGTTCGCATCGGCCTCCCCCAGCGGGTGGCCACCGGTGTGTTCCAGCAGCAGGCTGTGGCCAGGCCGTCTCCTGTTAGCTTTTAGAACATTCCCACTACAAACAAAAGGGAACTTGGTGTTTCTCCAACAAACCCCAGCAATGGTATCTCAGAGCTAGTCTACACTGTGGGCTATGGAGGTGTGATTTCTAACCCACGCTAACAGGCTGCTTGGTCCGGACACGAACAGTGGTGTGCTAACGGTTCCCAGGTGTGCGTTAATGTGATGCTGTTTATGGAGTTGGACGTTAAAGAGCACGAGGGGACATTCTGGAGATTACAGGATATATGAATAATGTCGATTTCAAATATACAATCAGTAGGTAATACATTATTCATGACAGTATACACAAAAAGAAAGCCCTTCCCCCCGCCCTCAATCCAATTTTTGGACACCTACATAAAACTCACAAACTGCTAAAAATACTGCGCACGCACACACACAAAAAAATGCAGAAGCTGTAGCTAGGTCCTAACACAAGCACTGATCTCAGTTCTACTCCTGGGAAGTCCACCTGACTCCCAGTGGTATTGGAGATGAGAGTTAAGCTCGAGGGTGGGACTTAAGCGGCCCGTGGGCAGGACGTGACTCAGCGTGGGCTCTGGACGCTTTCTTTACCCGTGTGGCCACTTACAGCGCCCATTGGTTGCAGTTCGCTGTTCTCAGCCCATGGAGCTGCGACAAATGGTAGCCCACACCCGCTCACCCGCTTCCCGCAGCTCCCAGTGGTCAGAAACGGCGAACCGTGGCCAACGGGACTGCGAGTGGCAGGTAAACAAAGTGTCCAGCCGCCCGCCAGGGGCCAACCCTGATGCGTTGTGTTCAGCCGATGGGCTGCTGATTTCCCAACCCTGCTTCAGCCCCTCCGCTGCCCCACACTACATACAGTCCACGTGCCACATCCTGCATTCAATACCAGAGCAACGTTTCCACGAACACCGCTCCAATTTTTCCTGTGTCATGGGCACAGGATTTGGTTCGTGGGCTGATTAAAAACAAAATGTCAAATGTTTAGGACAAGGAAGCTTCCCAAGGAAAACTGCAGCGCTGGTAAAGTGTCCGGGGCATTTTTCACAGCCAGCTCTGGAGCCTAGATGCAGAGAGATGAGGTTTGAGGGCTGACTCCTTTTCTGATGGGCTAACGTGCTTCCCTGTTGCCTCGCAAACGCAGAAGGTCAAGTTTCAGGGTATCTTACTAGGCCTCTGGTAAGTGCTATGGTTTCTGGCTGGCTGGTATCGCAGATGGTGCCCATCCACCAAGCTCATGCAAGTTTGAGACAGGCAGTGCCAAGTTCAAACAACAGTCAAAAACTTGGCAAAAAAAAAGTTTAATACTGTTATGAAAAAATGACATACTTATCTGGATGAGAAAATACAGCCAAAATGCATGGAGTGGACTCCCCTGCTGGTCTGTCTGCCCCCTGGATTCCAATCACAGCTGCTCCTCGACACAGGTGCACAACCCGAGAGCCAGGCCTCCCCCCAAGATGAAGCCCTTAGGGCGTGACACAAAGGAAACTCACTTGGGACACAGTACACAATGGCTGGAGAAGTCAGAGACTAGAGGCTGCGGTCTGTCCGGGTGGGGCTGCCACTGCCGGGCTCAGAGATGTCTCAACAGAACTGCAAGAGAGCGAAGTTGACACCCGGATTAGAAAACCCAAACGCACATAAGGGCCGTGGGCCGCACTCTCGTGGCCCCGAAGGAGCCACGGATGTGGCTGATAATTTCCCTCCTCGGGGGGCTGGGGATCTTGCACAGGCAGCTCGTGTTCCTCCTGGAGCAGGGGGACCCTCCCCGTCTAAAGATCTTGCTGAGCTGCCGGGAAGCTACCGGCCCCACACTGGAAAAGGGGGTGAGTGACTGACGTGAAGGAGGGGTCCAGCACTCGTTCGAAGGACTCCGGCATCATTGCTCCTTCCCATGTGCTAGCATCTAAGTCTGGCCAGGCCTGCAAAGTGACTGGCTGCAAAGGCATCACCGGCTGTGCCCCACCAGGCCATCTGCACGCGACACAGTCAGCGGCCACGTGCACTGGAACCGGGATCAGGCTAGTCCTATCCCCAGAGGCCACTGTGGCCGCGTGACGCTGTCTCTCCCTCTCGCCCGGGCGTGACGCCCGATGCTAGAGCTAGTCCGGCTGGGAAGGCGGCGAAGGATTTAGGCCTAAGATGACAAACTAGAGATGGAGACGCCATCCGTCTGGAGCAACCCGCATTCAACCCCGTGTCATTCATGCGCTACCTTCCAGCGGTTCCCACACTCGTTACACACGACGAAGGTGGTCATGGGCTCGTCGGAGCTGCGGGTCTGCACCTGTGGGAGTGAGACCAGAACATAAGAACAGCCAGACCGGGTCAGACCAAAGGTCCATCTAGCCCAGGGTCCTGTCTTCCCACAGTGGCCAATCCCAGGTGTCCCAGAGAGAGTGACCAAAACAAGGAATCATCAGATGATCCCTCCCCTGTCACCCATTCCAGCGAGTGACAAGCAGAGGCCAGGGATACCGTTCCTACCCATCCTGGCTAATAGGTATCAATGGACCTAACCTCCATGAATGAATCTAGTTCTTTTGTAAACCCTGTTAAAGTGCTGGTCTTCACAACATCCTTTGGCAAGGAGTTCCACAGGTTGACTGCACTTGTGTGAAGAAAAACTTTTGCTTTAAACCTGCTCCCTATTCCTTTCATATGGTGACCCCTAGTTCTTGTGTTATGGGAACAAGTAAATCACTTTTTCCTTAATCACTTTCTCCACACCAGTCATGATTTTATAGACCCCTAAAGGGAAGGAAATAGAAGGTGAGAGCGCCGCCTTGGACCTTCCGAAGAGATTTGCGATGGGCTTTTCCTGGCAGTCATCAAACACCCTCTGGGATCATCAGTGAGAAACCGGCCTGTGAGCCGGGCAGCAGGCATGGCCAGAGCAGGGAAAAGGAGTCTCATGCTTTTGCAAGTCTGTTTGTCACTGCCCCTCTCCCTGAGCACCTAAGAGCCATTCCATCCCCACTGCTGGGTCTGTGCTGCAGAGCCTCCCGAGAACGCTGAATTCCTTCGGCAGCGAGGCCGGCTGGCCTTACGTCCCATCGGTACCCGTCTCCAACCTCGTGCCTTGGAGTCTTACAGCCCCGGAATCGCCGTGCGAGGAGCCTTCCCTAACAGCGCAGGGAAACGCTCACACGCCGGCTCCACCATGCCCAGCCCTGCTGCTGATGGGAGGCACAGAAATGGCCTCTCAGCTGCATCTAGCAGCAACGCCCAGAGTGCGATCCGCGGGTGGGAGGCTACAGCCGACAGCGGAAGGGAGGACGCAGGCCCCGAATAGGCCCGGTCCCCCTCTCCCATCCGTTCCTGAGGCTGACGTGGAAAAGGAACGCAGGGGCTACAGCTCCCCGTGATGCTTTTTGATCACGTCCGCCCATCGGACTAGTCCCAGCTGACAGCAGGGCCGGTGGAAGCTGCAATGGAGTTAGGGCACTGGGATTTTGACCAGGGTGTGGGGTAACTGCCCGTCACAGCAGGGTGGTGAAAACGCCACGTGCCACTACAGTGGTGACAGACAAGGCCAAAGGGCTTCCAGGATTGAACTGGGTGTCCAGCACAAGCCTGGCTCTGTCCCATCTGGAGCTGGGCTACTCCACGAAGCGCATTTTCTTTCTGCCTGTCACCACGGCAGCATGATGGTCCCCAGTGGCCTTTAAGTGGCTGATGCCTGTTGCCATTAGGGATGCCAGATACTTTCACACAAAATACCGAACATGGTGGGGGAAAAAATTGGTTGAGCAAAAAAAAACCGGGGGATCAAAGTTGTTGAACAACAACAACAAAAAAGGCACTGCGCCTTTAAATCCCCCACCCCACCAGACATGGCAAGGGAAGAATAGCCCTGCCAGCCTTCTGTCCAAGAAAAACAGAAAATACCAGACAGTTTACATGTCTGGTACTTTCTGTGTTTTTTTTTGACCAGATAGAGGCCACAAATACTGTACTGTCCGGGGGAAAACCGGACACCTGGCAACTCTAGTTGCCATGAGGGATCTGACCGCCACCGTCCAGCATGACACCCGCTGAAACTAGTTCGGAAGCAGCAGAGGCGTCAGTGTTAGTGGCTAAAACCCCGGCCTAATGCAGCCCGTTCCTAAAGCAGAGCCCCCAGGTTGCGCTGGGTGTGCTCTGGCTCACGGCGGATCCCTTCCCAGGCTACAGTCTGGAAAGAATACAGCTCCCCGGATCCATAGTCAGGCTTCTGGTGCAGCCAAGTGCCTCAGGAAACTGCCTGTTCAACTCCCAAACCCCTGGCCGCTGATGTACGAGGAAAACATTAAAAAGCAGCCAAATCCTTCGGTTTTACAGGCTCAGCCTCGCTGTTCGCCAGGCCCAGGGGCTACGTCCCTCCCGCCTGCAAGCTGCCAAGACAATTTGCATCGACGCCCGTAGGGCTCCTGGTGTTGAGCCGTGGCTGGGACCGCGGCCTTGGAACAAGCTTGTCTACGCTCTAGAAACCAGATGGGCAAAGCATTTTGGTGGAAGTTGCATCTCAAAGGACGGCAGCAGCCTGCACGGGTCAGGTCCCAGCTCACACGCAGGGATAATTAGGGGGGCTGCAGGGGCCGTTACCCAGCCGGCCGTCACGGGAACTCGGTGTGCAAAGTGAGTGAGCACGGTTTGCAAATCCGCCGGGGACCTCAACGACTCTGACAAATCTGACCCTGGAGGCTCTCCTGGTCCCCTGGGCAGTGCCCCACCAGGCCAGCAGAGCACGGGTCAGGTCCCAGCTCACACGCAGGGATAATTAGGGGGGCTGCAGGGGCCGTTACCCAGCCGGCCGTCACGGGAACTCGGTGTGCAAAGTGAGTGAGCACGGTTTGCAAATCCGCCGGGGACCTCAACGACTCTGACAAATCTGACCCTGGAGGCTCTCCTGGTCCCCTGGGCAGTGCCCCACCAGGCCAGCAGAGAGATGCTAAGCACCATCCACTTCAGCGGGTCTGGCCGCAG